CTTATCCAAGTGCTGCCTGCTTCTCTAACAGGTACTGGCTTCGATTTCCCTCGAGCACTAGCCGACATGCAGAGGCACAGCTATTGCTAGGGACTCCTGATACACTACAATCCACCACTGAAGACAGGACCGTAATACCAGGTTTTGTCAACTATTTAAGGATCCATGTGGGATTCCCAAAAGCGCCCCTTGGACGTCTGTGAACTTGTGTTAAAAATCAGAAGAGAAAAATTTGAGTCTCTCTCTGGAACTAAAAATAAACGTAGGCGAGTGTCCAGGAGCAGAGAACAGTTAATAAGTACTGGGAAAAAAAGCCTCTAATCTTGCCTCTGTTCCATCCATCTCTTGTATAGAAGCCAGAGAGAGTCCCAAGAGGCAGGCCACTGGGCTGCTCCAGTGCCAACAGCCTTCCGCTTGGAGCCCAGCCTCTGAAATGCTTCACAAGGTCCATGCTGCTGTTCAGTTTCTGGCCTCATCTCACCGTCCTCCACTTGAATTCTGCACTCGCTCCCTCCTCCTTCTTTTCTCTAAATTACATTTAGTTTTATTTTTTAAAGACTTGTTTTATATATATACACGAGTGTTTTGTCTACATGTGCATCATGTGCATGCCTGGTGCTCATGTGGATGTGTATCATGTATGTGTATGCCTGGTGCTCGTGTGCATGTGTATCATGTATGTGCATGCCTGGTGCTCATGTGCATGTGTATCATGTATGTGCATGCCTGGTGCTCATGTGCATATGTATCATGTATGTGTATGCCTGGTGCTCAGGTGCATGTGTATCATGTATGTGCATGCCTGGTGCTCATGTGGATGTGTATCATGTATGTGTATGCCTGGTGCTCATGTGTATCATGTATGTGCATGCCTGGTGCTCGTGTGCATGTGTATCATGTATGTGCATGCCTGGTGCTCATGTGTATCATGTATGTGCATACCTGGTGCTCATGTGGATATGTATCATGTATGTGCATGCCTGGTGCTCGTGTGCATGTGTATCATGTATGTGCATGCCTGGTGCTCATGTGGATGTGTATCATGTATGTTCATGCCTGGTGCTCATGTGCATGTGTATCATGTATGTGTATGCCTGGTGCTCAGGTGCATGTGTATCATGTATGTGCATGCCTGGTGCTCATGTGGATGTTTATCATGTATGTGCATGCCTGGTGCTCATGTGCATGTGTAACATGTATGTGCATGCCTGGTGTTCATGTGCATGTGTATCATGTATGTGCATGCCTGGTGCTCATGTGGATGTGTATCATGTATGTGCATGCCTGGTGCTCATGTGTATCATGTATGTGCATGCCTGGTGCTCGTGTGGATGTGTATCATGTATGTGCATACCTGGTGCTCATGTGCATGTGTAACATGTATGTGCATGCCTGGTGTTCATGTGGATGTGTATCATGTATGTGCATGCCTGGTGCTCATGTGTATCATGTATGTGCATGCCTGGTGCTCGTGTGGATGTGTATCATGTATGTGCATACCTGGTGCTCATGTGCATGTGTAACATGTATGTGCATGCCTGGTGTTCATGTGCATGTGTATCATGTATGTGTATGCCTGGTGCTCATGTGGATGTGTATCATGTATGTGCATGCCTGGTGCTCGTGTGCATGTGTATCATGTATGTGCATGCCTGGTGCTCATGTGTATCATGTATGTGCATACCTGGTGCTCATGTGTATCATGTATGTGCATGCCTGGTGCTCATGTGGATGTGTATAATGTATGTGCATGCCTGGTGCTCATGTGGATGTGTATCATGTATGTGCATGCCTGGTGCTCATGTGGATGTGTAACATGTATGTGCATGCCTGGTGCTCATGTGTATCATGTATGTGCATGCCTGGTACTCATGTGTATCATGTATGTGCATGCCTGGTACTCATGTGCATGTGTATCATGTATGTGCATGCCTGGTGCTCATGTGCATGTGTATCATGTATGTGCATGCTTGGTGCTCATGTGAGGGTGTATCAGTACACAACACGTGCTCATGTGGATGAGTATCATGTTCATGTGTATATGTGTCATGTGCATGCCTGGTGCTCATAGAGGCCAGAAGAGGGTGTTGGATCCCTTGGAGCCAGAGTTGCGGATGGTTGTGAGCCACCATGTGGATGCTGAGAATTGAATCTGGGTTTCTCTGCAGGAGCAGACAATGCTCTCTTGACTGCTGAGCTTTTCTGTCAAGTCCTATCTATTTGTTGGTTTGTTTGTTTGCTTATGTGTTGGTCAAAGGACAATTTGCAGGAGTTGGCTCTTCTTCCACCATGTGAATCCCAGGGGCATCATATTTGGCAGCAAACACCCTCACTTGCTGGGTCATCTTGCCTGCCCTCTCTAGTTTTCTGTTTGCTTGTTTTTTTTTTTTTTTTTAGACAGGATCTAACTGTGTAGCCCTGGCTGGACTGAATGAAACTTGCTATGTAGATCATTCTGGGTTGAACTCACAGATCTTTGTCTCTTGCCCCTAAATGCAATCCTTCTCTCTCTCTTTTTTTGTAACAAGGTCTTGGACTGGTTCTGCCTTCCAGGTATTGGAATTGCAGGTGTGCTCCCCAACACCCCGCCTCTCTCCTGGCTATCTTGAGAGTACTGTGGTTTTGTTCGTCTTTTGCCTGCATTGTTCTTTCTGTCAAATGCCTTTCCACCAGCTTGCACCGCCCGGTGCTCATATTCAGATCTCAGCTGAAATTTGGAGCAGGGCATGAAATCCTTTTGCTGGTGATCCATATTCCAATTCCCAGGATTGTGGATGTAGATCCTGACGCTGGGGAAAGGCTGACAATTCTGGACCTTGGGAGGCCCTCCAACCTGCAGGCCATTCAGCTTGCAGTGGGAATGAATTTGAAAATAACATGAGGAGCATCTGAATTTTTCTGCTGCGCTGTAATATTTTCAGTAAGCCTGGGGATAGAATACGTGTGCACGAATGTGTATATATGCATGTGTGTATGTGTGTGTGCATGCGTATGTGCGCACACACACACACACACACACACACACACACTGAGAGACCACACACACTGAGAGACAGCAGCTTGTCTTGAGGCCTGGGGTATGGGTGGGGATCCAGGGATCCTTTTGTACTTCTTCAAAACTTTCAATGGACCATCTTGTTTTGTGCCTGCGGCCACGCCTGCCTGTAGATGTTTTCTGGTGCTCCTGAACCCTTTGCTCTGATACATAACCTTGGGCGCCTTTCAGCCTTTCCCACTGCCAGCTTGGAGCTCTGTTCTCTTAGATGTGCTGTAGCAGTTACTGCTTGTGTATTTGTTTTCCAGCTTTCCATCTTTTGTCGTCAGTGTCTCCTTCCCCATTCTTTGTCTCTGTGGTTTTACGCCCTTTGAAAAGGAGACCCCTGTAGCTGTCATTTCAGAAGGACGTTTGAGACAGAGAAGAGTTTGCCTTCAAATTAAAAAAGCTATCGCATGTATTCTTGGGGTGGTAGGACACTGGTGAATGCTTCTGGAGATCAGAGGACAACTTGCAAAAATTGGTTCTCTTCTTCATCGTGTGGGTCGGTCAGGATCGGTGGCAGGCACCTTCACCCACTGAACCTTCTCAATGTCCCTGTCCTCAGTTCTTAGCATATTGCTTAGCTTACAGTAAGTGCCCCCCCCCCCCCCACTCTCCAACCCCCCAGTATTTGGGAAGTCAAGTAATTTCAGTATTTCACCTTTGGAAAAAGTAAGAATCTCTGTTCTACTCAAGATTGCTTACGCACTATTGGACAAGCCACTCCCACTCCGGCACTTGTCTCTGCTTGTGTAAAATAGTAATAACACCTCATCCAAGTGCCTTCCCCAGGGCCCAGAGCAGAAGAGGCAGAGTGCTGGAAGGTTCCGTGTCAAAGTGACAATTCTTCGAAAGTTAGTGTTTTACTTAAGCTTAAAATTAGTCTGCACACGTGAATGACAAATTGGCCTATAATTAATGCCTCCAGGGCAAAATCGACGTTTCACCTAGCTTGCCACTTAGAGGTAGCAAAACCCTTCTCAGCCAAGAAAGGAAACCAGTATTAGTCGCTAAGGGCCTACTGTGTGCACCAGATCCTAAACTGACATGGGTTGTGTGGATTCTGCCGGCTCCGTTCGCCCCGGCTTCTCAACCCTGCATACTGTACCTCTGGCACAGAATTAGCTTGTCTCCAGGTGCCCAGTGGGGGAACTCACACTTAGACCTCATTGCGTGTCACACAGTTGCAGTCAAGTCCAGCTTGGACCGGGCACTGTGCCTGGTACTGGGAGGAGACACAGTTGATCTTTATTACATTTACTTATTTAGTGTGTGGAGCGGGGGTGGGGTGGGGGTTGGGGGCGTGCATGTGGAGATTAGGGGCCAGCTTGAGAGACTAGGTTCTTTGCCCTCCCCATGTGGGTCCCCGGGATTAAACTTGGGTCATTAAGCTTGGTGGCAAGTCTTTTTTACCCATCGAGCCATCTCATCATCCACCAAAGCTTATCTGTTTTTATGTGTATGTGCAACTGTGTGTGTGTGTGTAGGGGGGGGGGGTGTATGTACATGTAAATGCAGGTGCCTGTCGAGGCCGGAAGAGGGTGTCAGACACTCTGTGAGCCACAGGAGCGCTCTTAACCTCCTTACTATCTCTCCAGTCCTAAGTATAGTTTTCACAGGGAAGTCCCCCAAAATACAGGCAGAAGAGCCTACTTTCTCTGAAGCTGACTCTGAGGCTGCGGACGGAGGACGCAGCTCCGCAACTCCTTGGTCAAACTCCATCGACTCCACACTTTTTCCCTCTTTTGCTCCATCGGTCCTCTCCTAGCCAGAGCAGCTGGTGACCACAGGAGTCCAGGCTGGATGCCCAGCAGGTGAGGGCGTGGTGGGGGCGTGACCAAGGCCCATAGGCTACGCCTCAGCCTGCGACGCCCCTCCTCTCCTGCACGACCCCCGCCCCCAGCCCTCAGCGCCCCGCCCCTCCCCGCGCCGGCCGCAGTCTCCGCCCCCTCCGGGCCGGCGCGCGGCTCCCGCCTCCTTCCCTCGGCGCCCGCTCCCGTCTCCCTCCCTTTCCGCTGCCGAGGCGGCGGGAGCCGAGCCCCAGCGGACCGAGACGCGGCCGCAGCGGGCGGCGGGTGCAGAGGCGGAGGCGGGGTGGTCAGGCGACAGCGATGCGGCGGCCGCTCTGAGCCTGCCCGCTCCTGGTGCTGGGGGAACCGGCCGCGCGGGGCGGCAGCATGCGGGGCGGCGAGGAGCTGGACGGCTTCGAGGGCGAGGCCTCGAGCACCTCCATGATCTCGGGCGCCAGCAGCCCGTACCAGCCCACCACCGAACCGGTGAGCCAGCGCCGCGGGCTGGCCGGCTTGCGCTGCGACCTCGACTACCTGCGCGGTCCGTTGGGCCGCCTCAAGGTCGCCCAAGTGGTAGGTGTCGGGCGGGGCTCCAGGTATGGGCGGGCGGGTCGGCGGCCTAGCCCGCGCCTTCCTTCCCCGCACCCGGCCGCGGGGGGCAGGCCCGGTGGGCCCGAGCCAAGTTCGGGCTGCGCGGCCCCCGCCCCGCGCACTCCACGCTCCAAGGTCCTCGGGCTGCGGTTCCTGCTCCTCTGGGGACCGCGCCCTCGGCGAGAGCCTGCCCTCTCCTGCTCCGAAGCCTCAGGGATTCCTGGTGTCCGCACACCTGCACCGGGGCCTACCTGTGTTCGTGTCCTCCCTGCTTCATCCGCGAGCTTGGAGCGCGGAGCCGGTTGCGAGGGCCGTGCCATCCCCTGGCTACTACTGTGCTTAGCAACTTGTGGCAGGTTTTCCGGTTCGTGTAACCCCAGACGGTTCTCTGCTAACAGAGAGGCCGGGGGGGTTGTGGCATAGTTTCCTCCCTGGCGCCTAGCAGGGTGCCCAGCAGATGGTGGACGCTCAATAAATATTTGTTGAATGGAGGCATGTAGCCCAGTTGCAGTGGGGGAGTCCAGATCTACCCATAAAGCCTCCAGTCTTTACTGCGGACGTTTGATCCCTCCTTAGCATCCCGTAGTCTTCGACTAAGCACTGGCTGGGACTGCCCAATTGGTACCCAGAGTTAAGTCACTCTGGCAGGGCGGCCAGTATAGGAGGTGACAGGAGGAACTTTCAGTTGTACTTAGGCATCCTAGAGCACATCTCTAGAGTCCTCTTATTTTTATTTTATTTTAGCCTCCAGAGTGTTTGGTTCAGGGGCTTGTGGGTTTTGTTTCTGTTTTGTGGTTTTGTAGCAGGTCCGTCTGGGTTTTGGTTTATCTCTGTTTTGGACAGGGCACGGTCCGGGTTAGAAAAACCTCGCTACCCCTCCTACTCACTGTCACTTTTAGCCTTCCACTGAGGCCTCGAAACTTTATAGACTTCTCAGCCAGAGAAGCCATTTGCACGGAACTGTACATGCGTGCATTTTCTTTCAGTATCCTGTTGTGCTTAGCTGAGTGCATGTGTTCGCCTTTTTTTGGGGGGGGGGGATATCATCCGTGGACACCCTTTAAATAAAGGTCCCAGTGTTTGTAGGTTGTAGAATCATGGAGGGTTTTCTCTCTTCTGTGTGGAAGGCTCGGTCTTCTGATCCATAGTTTTGAAGGGCTTTAGTGAGAAATAAGTGGAGCAAGTTATCTATCTTTAAATTTTAAACCAATTTTAATCCAGTAATCTGGAATGTTCTCGAGGATTTATTGCTTTTGTGTTAGGTTTTTCTGTTAGCAAAGAGAATATAGGTGTGGGGGGTGTAACTAAGTTAGCCAATGGTTGCCCACGGTACAGATAATCAGAAGCGAGAAAAAAAAGGGCAGGGCTGCACTTGGAGCCAGGTGGACTGCAAAACCTAGTCAAGGACCGTGTTGGTTTACTCACTAGGCCTTTGAAAGTAAATAGAGCTTGCCCCTGTGAACTCTTAACTTGTCCCTCAGAGCAGAGATGGAGTGGTTTGCACCAAACGTTGGTTATCAGTTCACTGCCGGACTTTGCCGTCTCTGTGGGCAGGAGCTGGAGCCGGTGGCTGTTACCTCTTTGGAAAGGTGTGGCTGTGTGGTAGAATTACTTCTCTTGTGGAAGGACATTAGGGCCCAGCCTTTGAAATCTCTAACCGCTCTGTCTGCAGGAAAGGCCGCTTGAATGATGTGGCAGTTTGATGGTCTTATGCCCTTGGCTTCTCAGCCTTGCTAAACGTTGGGCTTTCAGGGTGATCCACCTTCCCTCAAAATAAAACAAACAAACAAATAAAATAAAATAAACTCCAAGGAATTAGACTTTAAATTTAAACTGGAAAAACAAACAAGAAAGTACTTATTCTTTACTTCAGTAAAATTTGGCTTTTAAAAGTCTTAGTATGTGCCAGGCATGGTGGCACATACTTTTAATCCTGGCAAAGGCTGACAGATCTCAGTGAGTTCAAGTTCAAGGCCAGCGTGGTCTACAAAGTGAGTTCCAGGACAGCTAAGGGCTACACAGAGAAACCCATTTTGAAAAAGGAAAAGAAAGAAAGAAAGAAAAAAAAAGTCTTTATAAACATTGTGATGTGAGGCCTAAGGAATCCTGTAGATCCCTGCTTTTCCAGCATGGGGTCCGGCATTTCTGCTACCCTAGGCCTCTGCAGAATCAGCCGATTCAGACCTTCTGAAACTTAATTTTTAACAAGATTCTCCAGATGATCTTGCATATATTATTTTAGTATTAGAAACCTCACACAGGAGGAGACTTGGGTTTAGTTGCTAGCACTCACGTCTGGTGACTCTTGTCTAGAGCGTCTTGTACCTCTAGCTCTAGGGGATCCCATGCCATTTCCTGGCCTCATTGCCACACAGGTGGCAATATACTCAGGCTGGCACTCATACACATAAATACACATTTTAAAATCTGTTTTAAAAAACGTTGGAAGCCATTGGATGGGTGGTGGCAGTTGTGACTGCTTCCCTTAAAAGAGTGAGAGAATAAACTTTACCTCGGATCTTTGATCTTGAACTCTCTAAGCCCCGCCCCACCCCTTTCCTCGGTAATAGACTATGAGAGAAAATGACTAGCTGAGCATTTGAGGAATTGTAAGAATTAAGGAGTTAAAGTAACCTAAGGTGCCTTTTAGGTGACTCAGAGGCAAATCTGAGTATTTGCATTTCAGGGTTGGGCGCTATAAAGTCTTACCTGATGGACAGCCTTGTCAGTGTGTAACCTCAAGCCAGTGCACACAGTCAGTGATTGTTTTATTGTACTCTGGAGATGTGTGGGATGTGATGGTAAAATGGACAAAACCAAACCTGGATTTTCAATAAAACCCAGTGGGAACATAAAGAAACTATATGTAGCATTAAACAGCTACATTTACACAGCTTCACCTGTGATTAACACTGGCTGTAGCTACTGTGCAGAGCTTATCAGTCCCAGATCCCACGGTTATGCTAGGTCTGGGCCAGTTGAAGTTTAATTGAGACAGACTTGGGTGTCTTCTCTTTTGGAGAGCTGGTGTAAAGACCAATCAGTAAAGTACTCACTTGTGCGTTTAATCCTTAGTGCCCATCGAAAAAGCTGAATATGGCGGCTTGTGCTTGTAAACCTAGCATTGGGGAGGCAGAGACAGGCAAATCTCTGGAACTTGCTCCAGCTCTCGATGAACATCCGTGTGGTTAGAGGATGACTCTGAGCTGGTTCTCTCCTCTACCTTTGTGTGGGCTCCAGGAATGGAGTGAAGATCATCGGGTGACATCTCACGACCCCCGAATTCACCCTTCCTGATGAATGTTGCCAACAAAACTTGAAAGAAAGGGGAGCTTCATCCTGGAAAAGACGGACTTTGAAAACGCTGTAGCTAACTTCACACTTAACGGGAAGGAACAAATGCTTTTTCCACGACGGCAGCCAGGCAGTGATGCCTTTGCTTCATTCATATTCAACAGGATTCAGAAGCTCTGACTGCTACAGAGATGGATGGGTGGATGGATAATTATCTGGCGATATGTAGAAAAGCTAGAATTAGTGAGTAAATTAGCAGGGTTATCAGATGAAGATCAACTTGTAAAAATAGCCATATTTCTGTATTCTAGCAATAAATGATTGGAAATTGAAATTTTTAAAAAGCCTGGTGTGGTGACTCACACCTATAAGTAATCCCAGCATGTGGAGGCTGAGGTGGAAATATCTCCATGAATTTGATGCTAGTCTGTGCTGAAGAGTGAAGCTGTCTCACCAAAAGAGAAAAGAAAAATAGCAAAACAGTTGCTAACAGATGGGCGGTGGAGGTGCACATCTTTAATCCCAGCACTCGGGAGGCAGAGGCAGGTAGATCTCCGTGAAACCTATCTTGAAAATAATTACATCTTGAAATTTGCAGGCAAATGGATGGATCTAGAAAACATCATATTGAGTGAGGTAACCCAGACCCAGAAAGACAAATATCATATGTACTCTCTCATAAGTAGCTTATAGACATGAAGCAAAGAAAACCAGTCTAGAATTCTCAAACCCAGAAAACCTGGACAACAGTGAGGCCCCTAAGATCTAATCTACATGGGAAGTAGAAAAAGACAAGAGCTCCTGAGTAAATTGGGAACATGAGGACCATGGAAGAGGGTAGAAGGAAGGGGAGCAGAGAAAAATGTATAGCTCAATAAAATCAATTTAAAAAAAAAAGAAACCTATCTCAAAAAAAAAATCACAAAACAACAAACAAACCAGTTGCTAACTCTGAAAAGAAGGAAATACTTAGCTGGGAAGCTGACGGTGTGGCTCTCCATCCACTCTTAAACTACAAATCTCTGGATAGAGAAATCGTAGGGGACTGAACAAATGGACGGACATACTGCATCATGGACAGGAGAGCTGTTATCTTCATGCTTACCAAAAAGCCAGCAAGGGTTTCTCTGTGCCCTGGAACTCATTCTGGAGACGAGGCTGGCCTCGAAATCAGAGATCCACCTGCCTCTGCCTCCTGTATTCTGAGGTTAAAGGTGGGTGCCACCACCTCCCAACTCAGCAGGATTATTTTGTATGGGGAAAAGCTGAATCTAAAATTGTAGAAAGTCAAGGTGGCTCCAAGGTGGTGATGGGCAGAGGTGTGTGTGTCTTGGGTGGGGTGGGAGGGAGTTTCCTTAGGGAATGGACTTTGTGTCTCTTATCATGCCTTGAGAATCTAAAAAGTTGCTTTTCATGTCTGGCTACTGTAGATCTGCAAAGCCCTGGGCTCTGTCACTCCTGTTCCAAACCACTGGAGCCTGTTGGCACTTGCTGTGGTCTGAATACTGTACCCAGCCCTAGTTCATATACTGGAATCCTATACCTAATGAGATTGTTAAGAAGCAGAGCCAGCCTTAGCAGGGTGAGGTGGTACTTACTTAATCTTAGCACTGGGGAGGTTGAGGCAAAGGAATCTGAGGATAGCCTGGGCTTAAAAAAAAAGGTTTGGGAAGCCTTGAGAGCTTAGT